GCGGACCGGCGGCGCCTCTGGAACTTATTCCTGGGACCGTCTGCGGGCGCTGGGCTCCCGGCGCCCCTGGGCCCACAGCTCTGCCTGTGATTTTCAGGGACGCCGCAGAAGTACGACCCCACCTTCAAAGGACCCATCTACAACCGGTGAGCGCCCCGGGTTCCTGTGGGCCGAGGGGTGCCTGCTCGTGCTGCCCCACCCCTGTGTCTTCACACTCCCCCCTCTGTTCTCCAGCAAACTGGGGATAAGTATTTTGCAACTTGACGGTGAAAGGATTGGTTTCCTTAATATAAAGAGTCCTTACAAATGAATTTAAAAAAAACACACAAAAACTCAGGCAAAAGCCTGGGACAAGAAGTACTGCAGGCGATGAAGTTATGGAAAAACGTTTCAAACTCAGTGGAGAGTAAAGGAATATCATTTAAAACGATAACCAGATAGAATTTCCTATCACAGATTAGCACAGAGTAAGTAGATCAACACACAGGTTCTGCACTGAAAGGAACTGTTGCGGTTTTTTCAAGGGAATATGGAAATGTGGACATTTTAAGTGTGCATGTTTTTGTTCCAAAGATTAAAATTCTAGGGGAAAAAAAAAGTTTTCATAAACCTTGCACACATGGACAAAAATGTATGCAACAGCTATCTTTTAGAAAATGGCAGAAATCTAACCATCTGAATATCCATCCTTTGCAACTAGTTAGCTAAGTTACAGTGGATGCTTAGGTTAATATTACACAGCTGTTAAAAGGTACGAGTCCCGCCTTGGTTAGTGTTGCTCAGTGGTTAGAGCCTCGGCCCTTGCACCATAAGGTTCGATTTCACATCAATATTTCTCTCTCTCTCTATTTCCCCCTTCCCTCCCTTCCACTCTCTATAAAAGATCAGTGGATACCCATACCTTCTCTACCCTCTACCACTCCTCATCTGGTAATTCCTTCAGGTTTCCATCTGAAAATCACTTTTTCTGACGTCTTCGGAACTGTCTTGGAAAATCTGAGCAGAACAATCACCAGAAACATTGTAGTTATTCATTACTTTCCCCCTTTATCAATCTGATCTCATGATCTAAATAGCTGGGGTTTTTAGTATTTGTCTGGCGGTGTTTTAGACACCAAAGTGCCTGTCTACTAATTATGACATCGTCACTGTTTTTCCATGTCTCCATTTATGTTTTAATGTTCCAGCACCGCCCTGTGATCCCTAAGCAAACAGGAATCTATTCAAAAAAGTAGGTGCAAGAAGACTGTGTTCACTGTCTTCTTAATAGAGGAGCTGAGGCATATTAAACATTCTAAGAGTTTATTTTAGCAAAAACAAACTCAACTCCGGCTGCACCAAATCAGAAATGGTTAGGCGTGTTCCACTGATGGGAGCTCAGGAAGATGGTTTTATAGAGAAGGTGCACGAACTAATAAAATTATTGATGGGCTCTGGCTTACAACCTTTGCGTTTTGATTTTGTAAACGTGAGGCACATACAGGTTTTGATTTTTTGGATTGCTGCCTAAATCGCTAAGGTATTAGGGTCACCTCAGTCTCCTGGTTTGATTAATTTAGTAGTCTTCATCATGCTTTATTTACTCATTCACTTATTTGTTTGTTAATTCATAAATTCAATTTGAATTCATACTGATTCTGCCAGGCAAAGTACTAACCACAATAATTGACGTTGTGGAGTACGCAATAATAAAGGTATGAATGAGGTGTGTATGCAGGAAGGATGGCAGGTGATGGCCATCCGTGCCTGAGGTGGTAGAAGCTAACTGGCCTTGGCTTTGAAGACACAGTGGGCATTTCCCAGTGAGTCAAAGTGAGGAATAGTAAAAAGAAAAAAGATCAATGGAAAAAAAAAATATCCTTGATGAGGATTTACATAACAACAACAAAATATACGAGTCATAAGTGGTGATATGGATCCCTCAAAATATTAAGCAAAAATAGCAAGACACAGAACAGGAAATGTATCATCACACTTAAGAAAAAATTTTTTTAACATTAATACCTAATAAATAACCCAGAGGATTAACTAACAGGTTACTTATGGGCAGGCAGGGGTGTGTGTGGGGGGCGGGGTGGCGGGGGGGGATTTATTTATTTATTGTATACATCCCTATTTTGTGGTTTTAATTTTTACCATGTTCATATATTTTTTAAATTTTTACTTATTGATTTTGGAGAGAGAGAGAGAAAAAAAATCAATTTATTGTGCCACTTATTTATGTATTCATTGGTTGATTCTTGTATGTTCCCTGACCAGGGGTCGAACCTGCACCCTTGGCATATAAGGGACGACATTCTAACCAACTGAACTACCTGGCCAGGGCTCATCTATTTTTTACTATAATATTTAACCTTATAAAAATAATTTAAATTAAAAAAACATGTAAGGCTGGTAACGATGTGAGAAAATGGGCACCCTCGATCAAAAGAGAGCTGCACGCTGCTGCACCTGCTTTGAGGACGCTGTGCCATTACGCATTAAAATGTAAAGTGTACGTGCCCTTCGGTATAGCATCTGCGTAAGTCAGGAACATGTCCAAATCACACATGGGTGTAAGCGGGTGCACCGGGTCCCCTGGGTCTCCGATCCTCAGGGCACCAAGACGCCCACCCTGACACTGTCTCTTGCTCCCAGGGGCTGCACAGACATCATTTGCTGTGTGTTCCTCCTCCTGGCCATCGTGGGCTACGTGGCCGTGGGGATCATAGGTGAGTGGAGGAGGGAACAGGGCTGAGGGTTCCAGGGGGAGAGGGAGGCCACAGCCTCTGGGTCAGGAGTGGGTGAGGAGTGGCAGGCAGTGCCTCAGTGGCTCTGGATTCCTCCACAGCTTGGACCCATGGAGACCCTCGAAAGGTGATCTACCCCACCGATAGCCGAGGCGAGTTCTGCGGGCAGAAGGGCACAAAAAATGCGTAAGTCCAGCTCCTTATTGCCTGGTGGGTCTGGGGAGAGGAGTGGGCAGGAGGGCTTCATGAGCTCTGGGGAGAAGGTTCTAGGCTTCTCCTACTTCCAGCCATCCGCTAGTCCAGTCAACAAATATTTATAAAACTCCCACCATCCCCAGCCACTGTACTAGGCCTTGGGGACACCGCATTAACTGAGACATTAAGAGCCTTGTCCTCTGGAGGCCCACGTTTTAGGGGAGAGACAGAGAGGAGATGTTATGGGATCTGATGTCGGTCATGACAGCTGAGGTAAAAGAGGGAATTCTTTCATTTCACCTGTACATGTGAGGGTTATGTCACTCCCTGCCTGTGTGACGTAGGGCATGTGTCTCCGCCTCTCTGAACCTATTTTCCTCATCTCCAAACTGGGGATTCTAACAGTCCCCCTCTAATAAGGCTGTTTGTGCTGGTTAGATGAGCCTATATGTGTTCAGAGCTTAGAAAGTACTTGACAGGAAGTTGCTGCTGCTGCAGTTATTGTTGTTGTTGTTGCTTTCATTAAGATATTAGCGGCCCAGTGCACAAAATTCATGCACATTAAAAGGGAATTAATTAGAGGAAATATTTTAATATTGCTATTTGCCCTTTCTCTATAATAGAAGTGTCAGAGATTAAAGAAAATGAGTAAAATGTATATGAAAATCTCCCTCCTGTTAGAGCCTGGGGGACCCAGAGTCAAGTCCCCGCCCACCTGCTTGTGCCTCAAAATCACGCCAGACCCAGACCCGGCCGGCCCCACCCCCATCAAGCCCCACAGGGCAGGGGTCACAGCCTCAGGTCCCCCCTGGCCCTGGTGTGAGGGTGCGAGGGCATGACAACCATTTGCATATTAGCTCTTTATTACATAGGATAGGATAGGAATTTCTATAGGGTGGTTGAGAAGTCTTGACAGTGTCCATCTCCCTTTCCCAACCCCAGGAACAAGCCCTTCCTGTTTTATTTCAACATCGTGAAGTGCGCCAGCCCCCTCGTCCTGCTGGAATTCCAGTGTCCCACCCCCCAGGTAACCTGTCCCCTCCCCACCCCCTTTCCTGTCCCCTTTTTCCAACACTAGGTCCTTTTTCTCCTGTAGTGATGACTTCTCACCCAGTTTTTTCTTTTTCCCTGGTGAATGGGAGGCGGAACTTCTATTTTGAGGGGGGATCAGGTGTCTGACCCCACCCAACCCTGCCTCCTGCTCCCCCAAGATCTGCGTGGAGAAGTGCCCCAACCGATACCTCACCTATCTGAATGCTCGCGGTTCCCCGGACTTTGAGTACTACAAGCAGTTCTGCGTGCCTGGCTTCCAGAACAACAAGGTGAGGGGAGCCTAGGCAGGGCCAGGCAGAGCGTGCTGGTCTGGGGGGTTAACCTTCCCCTCTCTCCACAGGGTGTGGCCGAAGTGCTTCGGGATGGCGACTGCCCCCCTGTCCTCACTCCTAGCACCCCGCGTGAGTCTGGGGTCCCGTGAGCCCTGGTGGGGTGTGGGGAGGTGTCAGGGGCTCAGCTTGACTGCTGTCCCATCCCCTGCTCCATCTAGTGGCCCAACGATGCTTCCCAGCCATCCACGCCCATAAGGGGGTCCTCATGGTGGGCAACGCGACGACCTATGAGGACGGGGACGGCGTTCGGAAAAACATCACTGAGCTGGTTGAGGGCGCCAAGTGAGGACTGCAGCCCACCACACTGGCATTGTGCTTTCCCGGGTGGGACAGAGCATCCCATGGGGCTGGACCCATCAGGGAGGGGTCTGACGCCACCCTCGTATGCCTTACCCCAGGAAGGCCAATGGGGTCCTGGAGGCGCGGCAGCTGGCCATGCGGATATTTGAAGATTACACTGTCTCCTGGTACTGGATAGTCATGTAAGATGGGAGGAATGGCGGCCTTTTCTGGGCTGGACCGTCTGAGGCTGGTGAGAGGGTGGGGACCGCTCATGCCCCCCCATTTTATCCCTCAGAGGCCTGGTCATCGCCATGGTGATGAGCCTCCTGTTCATCGTGCTGCTCCGCTTCCTGGCTGGCATTATGGTCTGGGTGATGATCGTCATGGTGATTCTAGTCCTGGGCTACGGTACGTCTCCCCTCTCTTCCCCCTCCCCTCCTCAGAGTCCGCCAAATGCTCATGCCCTTTGACCTGGCATTGCCCCATTAAGCATCTTCTAAGCCAGCGGTTCTCAACCTGTGGGTTGAGACCCCTTTGGCGGTCGAATGACCCTTTCACAGGGGTCGCCTAAGACCATCCTGCCTATCAGACATGTACATGACGATTCATAACAGTAGCAACATGACAGTTATGAAGTAGCAACGAAAATAATTTTATGGTTGGGTCCCAACATGAGGAACTGTATTTAAAGGGCCAGAAGGTTGAGAACCACTGTTCTAGGCCATCAGATGTCCTCTACCTTGTCCTCCACCTATGGGCTAAATCGTAGTCTTCCAAACTGGGCCCGGATCTGTATTTTATGACACCAAAAGGCATTCGCAAGGAGACTACTTAGGACAGTGGCTAATGATACATGCTCTGGCACCAGAAAGCTGGGGGTTCAAATGCCAGTTTTGCCAACTCCTCACTCTGTGACCTTGGGCAAGTGACTCAACCCCCCGGTGCCTCAATTTCTTCTTCTATAAAATGGGGATAATTAATATTTACTAGTTAGGAGGCTTAATGAGAAGGAAGTAGTATGCGGAGGAGATGGAGAGAGCTGAGACTGAAGGAACCAACAGGCCAAGCTCAAAGCCCAGTGCTTTATATTCTGATTATTCTTTTTTATAGAGGCTTTAAAAAAAGCTTTAATTGATTTGAGAGAGAGAGAGAGAGAAATATTGATATGAGAGAGAAACATGGATTGGTTGCCTCCCTTACGTTCTGGGACTGAACCCACAACCTGGGCATGTGCCCTGACCAGGACTCAACTGGCAACTCCTTTTTGGTGTATGGGACGATGCTCAACCAACGGAGCCCCACTGGGCAGGGCCTATTTATTCATTTAAACTTTCCATTTGGAAAGATGGCCTGATATGCAACCCAATCTGAGGACACAGATATTAAAATATTCATGTTAATAGTAGTTTCTATCTGGATGCTGGCATTTTAGGCAAATAGACTTTTTTTTTTTTTTTTTACTTTATCTGTATTTTACAGTTTTCTGCTACAAAGAGCTAAGAGGAATGCTGAAAATTCCTAATGCTACCCCACTGGACGTTAACACCCATGTCCTCCCTTACTACCCATGAATCATTGTTACAGAGTTGCAAGGGGGTCAGAAAAGCCTCAGACCATCCAGCGCCCTGACACCTATTCATTCATTCATTAAACATGTACTGAGTGTCTGTTGTATCCTGGGCAGTTTTCTTGGTGCTGGGATTGTAGCGTTGAATAAAACAGGACAAATTTTTGCTCCTGTGGAGTTATATTCCTGGAGGTATGGAGGAGATGGACAAGAAAACAAAACAAAACACAGAAAACCCTCTAGGACATCAAAGCAGAGCAGGGGGATAAGACGTTGGAGTGTGAGAGGGTAAGATTCTAGGAAGGGGAAAGGCTTCTGGAAGGTCTCACGAGAAGGCGACATTTCAGCACAGGAGGATACGAAGGATCAGTTGGGGAGAGAATGTATCAGAAGCGGGAAGAGCTAGTGCAAAAGCTCGGAGACGGAGCAAGCAATGGCAGCCCCTCTCAGCCTCCATTTCTGCTTCTGCTACACTGGGGCGGTGGCACCCGCTGTGCTCCATTGGCGGAGCAGTGGGTGTGCTGTAGCAGGGCGACCCCCCTGTGCAGGTATATTTCACTGCTACATGGAGTACGCCCGACTGCGTGGGGAAGCCGGCTCCGACATCTCCCTGGTGGATCTCGGCTTTCAGACAGACCTCCGCGTGTACCTGCACTTGAGGCAGACCTGGATGGCTTTCAGTGAGTCCAACCCCCCCCATTCCTGCCCCCAGCTGGGCACGGGAGGGAGTGGGAGCCTAGGCAGCTGGCAGACGTGGCCACCCTCTGCCCCCGACAGTGATCATTCTGAGCATCCTTGAGGTTATCATCATCTTGCTGCTCATCTTTCTCCGGAAGCGAATTCTCATCGCCATTGCCCTCATCAAAGAAGCCAGCAGGTGGGTGTGAGGGGGTCAGGCATGGGTGGCGCCAGGGCTGCTCGGTCCCTCATGCCCATATCTCTGCTCCCCTCCAGGGCTGTGGGATATGTGATGTGCTCCCTGCTGTACCCGCTGGTCACCTTCTTCCTGCTGTGCCTTTGCATCGCCTACTGGGCCAGCACGGCCGTGTATCCACTGTCATGCCCCGATTCCGGCCCCGGGGGATGGCCAAAGACCACACTCGCCTGGAAGTGACCTGCAGCTTGGGGGCAGGCCCAAAACTTGGTGGGGGAAGGGACGCTTTCTCACAAGCCCCTGGGGTCCCTAATCTCAGACCTCAGAGATTCCTTAACAAGCTCCCAGCTTCCTGTCCACTTCCAACGAAGCGATTTATAAAATCTTCGGGGATGTCAACACCTGCCCAGTTAATGGGAAAACCTGCAGCCCTGAGGTGGGTATCCAGAGGTTTGGGGGCACAGGGGGTGTTGGGAGGGAGCTATTTCCCCAGCAGCCCATCGAGGATCTGAAACCTCTCATCCCAACTTTGGGACCGTTCAACAAACAATTGGTGCCTGCCGTCTACCCTGTGCTGGATGTGGGGGTATGGCGGGGAAGAGATCCAACTTGGTAGCTCCCATACCGCTGTCTTAACCCAGCGATGGCCAGTTCTTGCTTCTAGAACCCTTCCTTGCCTTCCACAAGCCCCTATCCTGACCCCTGCGATCATTATGCTGACCTCTGCCACTCCTGTCCTGTCCCTATGGCCACTCCACTGACACGGGACCCCACCCTGACCCCCCCAAATAGCCTAGGCTACCTCACTGACACCCACTGATTTTGTTCCATGATCCCTAGTCTTGCTTCTAGAACCCCTTATACAAGTCCCAGTCCTGAACCCCCAGCCCCTTAACTCTGATCCCCGTGACTCCTGTCCCACCCTATGGTCAGCATCAGCTGACCCAGACCTGATGCCCAGAGCCCACTCTGAACCCCGGGTCCCTATGTTGTGACTGGGTTCTGCATTTCTCCCCAGACCTTCCCCTCCTCCAACGAGTCCCGCCTATGCCCTGGAGCCCACTGCCAGTTCGCCTTCTATGGTGGTGAGTCAGCTTACCACCGGGCCTTGCTGGGCCTACAGATCTTCAATGCCTTCATGTTCTTCTGGCTGGCCAACTTCGTGCTGGCGCTGGGCCAGGTCACACTAGCTGGGGCCTTTGCCTCTTACTACTGGGCCCTGCACAAGCCAGATGACCTGCCTGCCTTCCCGCTCTTCTCCTCCTTCAGCCGGGCACTCAGGTGGGACCCCAGATGGGCTGGGGGTGGGGGTGGGGGTACACTGACCATGCCCGTGGCCTGCAGGTACCACACGGGCTCCCTGGCCTTTGGTGCCCTCATTCTGGCCATCGTGCAGATCATCCGCGTGATGCTGGAGTACCTGGATCAGCGCCTGAAAGGTGAGGCCCCTGTGCTGTGGGCTTTGGCCTTCAACTGGGGAGGCAGAACTGGGGGAGGTCAGAGTTGGTTCTTGCTTGAGGGCAAGGCTTGTGTGGGATAGTGATTGGTTTCTGACTATGGGCAGGTAGAGCTGAAAGACGTGGGTGATTGGTTCCTGCCATGGAGGTGATGGGTTGTACCATGGAAGCCTACAGGGATTGGTGTCTGTGGGAGGCGGGGCCCAAGCAGTGGTATGGGTTGTGATTGGTTCCTGTCTTGGAGGCTGGGCTGAAAAGCTTCAAGATTGGGTCCCTCATGGGGGGCATGCCCTCCAAGGGTCCTGGATGGAGGCTCTCCTTTCCTTGTCTCTTTGAGAAGGTGGGCTCTGGGAGTCCTGTACTGTGCAGGGGTGTGTGCTAGTAATGAGGAGGTGTGTGTCGAGGGCGGGAGGGGGGCTGCAGGGGGGTGATGGTGGTGGTGTTCCCTCACCTTCACATCCCTCCATTTTCTCCCAGCTGCTGACAACAAGTTTGCCAAGTTCCTCATGACCTGTCTCAAATGCTGCTTCTGGTGCCTGGAGAAGTTCATCAGATTCCTCAATAGGAATGCCTACATCATGGTCAGTGGCCTGGGACCCATACCAACCCACCAGCTCTTCCTGGAAGGGCGGGGCCCTCGTTCCCACTGGGCGCCCTGATCCTTCCCTTCTCCTCCCGCCAGATCGCCATCTATGGTACCAACTTCTGCACCTCGGCCAAGAACGCTGTTTCTCTCCTCTGCAACCCATTTCCTACAACTATAACTAAAGTCATATTTCAAAATCATAAATCGGCAAGCCCCCCCCTCACCCCCCCCCCCCCCCCCCCCCCGGCCCCTGAGCCCACATTCACACCTGCTCCTCACTCTCCCTTGCAGAGTGGCTGTCCTGGACAAAGTCACTGACTTCCTCTTCCTGTTGGGCAAACTTCTGATTGTGGGCAGTGTGGGTGAGTGCTGCTCACCCAGCCTTCCGGCGAGGAAGCCCATTGGGCTGTGGGGTCCCCATGTCTTCTTCTGTGGTGGGTTGGGCTTCTCTGGGCAGGGGGCTACTTCCCTTAGCCAAAACCCTCAACCATCTCGGTTTTCTCCCCCTGTCCAGGGATCCTGGCTTTCTTCTTCTTCACCCACCGTATTAGGATCATACAGGACACAGCACCGCCCCTCAATTATTACTGGGTCCCTATACTGGTATGGAACTTTGGGGATGGGTGGGTGTCGGGGGGAAGGAGGAGTTGGGGCTCACCTGGCCCCCTTTGGGCAGATAGGGTGGGGGTCAGAAGTAGGGGATTGGTTATTTATTCCCACAAACATGAAGCACCTGCTATGGACCAGCCACAGAGGGAGGAAGGGCGTCCCTCTAGAGAACTGCAGTTTAGAGACAAATAGACATTAATCAATAAATCAATCATGATGTGGGTGGCTACGAGTTTGCAGACTGGCACGTGCCCCAGGGCAGAATTCTAGGGACCTTTTGGAGCCTGCGGTGCAAGTCTGGGAGTCCAGGCAGTTTCACGGAGGAGGTGATATCAGATCTAAAATCTGAAGGACGCACAGGCAACAACCAAGCATAGGGAACAAGGACAGAGCCTCTAAGGTGGGACCGTTCCAGAGCAGTGAGGAAACCAGTGTAACTGGTGTGGAGGAAGTGAAGAGGAAGATAAGGGCAGGGAGGGAACAGGTGCTGGAGGGCTTAGGTCATCACAAACTCTAGGTGCAGGCCTTGGAGCCCCATGACCTAGATTTTTATTTTAGTCCTCTTTGCTGGTTCTACGATGTGTAACTTTGGGCAAGTTATTTAATCTCTCTACGGTCCACTCATGTCAGTCAATAAATGTTTATCAGGTACCTACCAAGGCCTGTGAGTCACCAAATTGCTGGGGATATTGCAGGAATCGGGACAGGCACAGTCTGGTGGAGATGTGGGCGTTAAACCTGTACTGCCCTAAACATGCATAAAATGGCAGCTAGACAAAGATCTCCGAGGAGGGGTGCTCAGTACTAGGAGAGCATAAAACAGGGTCTAGATGTCAGAGGCAACTCCTTGGAGGGAGTGTTACCTGAGGACTTGATGTTTGAGCAGAATAATGTTTGCCCTAGACTAAGTCAGGGCAATAGCATGTGCAAAGGCCCTGGGGTCAAAGAGAGCAAATAATGTCCTGTGGACAATAGGGCTCTGCCCACAGGGTTGAGGGGTTAGGTTATTTTTATTCTAAGACAGGCTTACAGCATAGGAGTGACGGTGATCCCTGCCTGGGAGGGACAGGGTGGGTGGGAGTTGCCCTGGGCAGGAGTTGGGATGGAAACAGCTCTTGTCCCCTCACCCAGACTGTGATCATTGGCTCCTACATGATCGCCCATGGCTTCTTCAGCGTCTACGGCATGTGTGTGGACACACTGTTCCTCTGCTTCTGTGAGTGACCCCTCAGCCCGACTCTTGCTGGGCCCTAACTCCCTTCTCCCCTCTGGGCAGAACCCCTTCCCGTGGGGCTACACATTCACCTGCCACATGCCCCCAGCTTCCCAGGGGCTGGCTGTCCCTCACTGGGCCCTGGCATGCCCTCTCAGCTTCCTCCCTGCGCACAGAGCTGCTGCAGCTGGGACGCCCTGCCCTGAGCCCTTGGGGTTTCTGAGTTTTCAGCTTTGGTTGGGGGGAATCTGTGGCTGCCACTAACTCTGGTCTCTCAATCTGTCTGTTTTTGTTTTCTCTTTTCTCTTCCTCTCTTCCACGCCTGCTGGCTTCCCTGTTCTTCCCTGCCTCCCTCTTCCCCTCCCCTTCCTGACCACCCCATTTCCCCTGCCGGTTCCTGGGGGGAGCCCAGGTGAGGACCTGGAAAGGAATGACGGCTCTCAGGAGCGACCCTACTTCATGTCGCCTGAGCTGAGAGACATCCTGTTGAAGGGGAGTGCGAAGGAGGGGAAGCAGGCAGAAGTCGAGGAGTAGGAGGAGTAGAGACGGAGGGAGGCCAGCCTCCCTGTTTCCTCCCTGTAGACGGGGGTGCATGCGGGGCTTCCTTGCCTGGGCGTGGGGGAACGTGTGTGTCCCATTCCCGAGCCCACTGTAGCTGCCCCTCTCCAGTGCCCGTGTGTCTTGCTTCCTAACCCTCTGAGGCTTCTGTGGCCCCTGCCCGCCCTGCCCCCCGAGGCCCCTGCCTGTGAGCTCCCCTCATGCCACCTGCTCTGGGGTCTCTCTCTGCAGTGGAGGACCTAGAGAGGAATGATGGCTCGGCCGAGAGGCCTTACTTCATGTCTTCCAATCTCAAGAAGCTTTTGAACAAGACCAACAAGAAGCCGGCAGAATCTTAAAGGCCCCACCTTCCCCCCACCTCCCTGCAAGGTCTCACGCTGGGTGCTCGGCAGCTGGGTCAGAACCCCCAGCCCCTGGGGCTGACCGGAAGTCCTGTCACTGCCACACACCCCCCATCATCCAATGGGGACCCGGAAGATTGGTGGCATCTCCTCCCTATGCCAAGGGGCAGTCGGGGTTTTCATGGCGGCCCCCCCAAGACTGAGCAATGAATCGCTCCAGCCCTCACTGGCCGGGATGGGAAGGAGTCCCATGAGGGCTCTTGATATGTCTGGCCTGCGATGGGGCCCAGCCTCTGTGGGCTGCCTCCCGCTTCCTGTTCCCTCTTATGGCAGGACGGTGTTTGTGTCTGCGGGAGCCATGGCCACAGTCAGCTCCAGCTCCCGAAGGCCCTCCTTCACGCACATCTGCTCAGGCCAGGACGGAGCCCCCTCTCCAGAGCTGAACAACTGGCACGCAGGCTGCCACATGTGTTTCTTTACTATTTTTTTTTTTAACCTGGCTATGCATTAAAGGGTCTATTAGTTTTTTTCTGTCTCGACAGCTGAAATGGGGCCACTGAGGAGTGCCTTCTGTTATCTGGTATGGCTGCAGCGGGGTGTGTATTCGTGCCCAGGGGGTTGTCTCCTGGCATGGGGGCAGCAGGGCACCCTGGTGGTTGCTGGGAGATGAGGGAGTGAGACTATTCTGGGAGGCTGCTTGGAGCAGGAGGGAGGAGACCACTGATAGCTGCCTGATGGGAACTGGCTGGCAAGATGGACACAGCTCTCTTTGTAAAGAGAGAAAAGAAACTGAATCCACCTAAGGGACAATTTCAGGGGAAGGGGTGCAAGGCAAATGCTGCCTGCACGCCAGACCTCCCTGCCCCGTCACCTCATCTTGAGGATCCTTTTGCCAAATTAGTTGAACTCAGGACCTGGTTTCCTGGTTTCCTCTCCGCCATATCCTAAGGCCCCCGACTACATGTCTTTGTTCATCAGCACAGTCCCAGGATCCCCGAGAGGGAGAGATTCCCACCTGGGGTCTCCGTGTCCTGCGCCTGTTGCCAGTCCTCCCACCTCCCTCCCTGTTCTGTCCACACATCCCTGCGTGTAACTGCATTCCAACCACTAATAAAGTGCCTATTGTAACAGAGCCCAAGCCTGGAGTGTTTGTGGGGGCCGCGGGAGGCTGGTAAGAAGAACCCCAGCTGGTATAGCCCTGGAATTCTCTGAGCTGGGGTGACTGTATCCAGGGGAAGGGGTCCAGGAAGCCCTGTCTGCTGGCCCCCGTCTCCGCCTGAATTCCACCGTGCAAGCAGCTCAGGTTTCTCCTGAACAAATGTCCCTTATTAGGTTCTGGTGCCTGGACTCCAGAAGGCGGCCACGGGCTATTCACCTCCCACCCCCGCCCCGCTCTCCACTTCCCGTCTCCCCCTCTTCAGTCACATGGCCTGGGCTTGTCCCAAGGCCTGCTTTGTCCCCTGGCCCAGGCACCTCAGGTGCCACCGTTGAGCTCATTTGGATCTGGAAAGTGGCACCCTGCCAGGGTGCCTGGAAGCTCGCCGCTGCCCCCTGCTGCCAGCTGTCACCATCGCCTCTAAGCCAAGTGCCCCACCATGTTTACTGCCTTTCTTACTCCTACTAGTATATGCCTTTGCCTGGAATTTTTTCTTAAGCAGCCACCATTTTTTATTTATTTTTTATTTTTAGTACTTCCTATCTGCATACCATACCTTGCTTCTATTGCTCTCCCTTTAGTAAGTTTATTAAGGCAAAGAGGTTGCCTCACCAGCAGGAACGGGGCCAGGTTTCCTTGACCCTAAAGCCCACACCCGCTAACCTGTACTAAGGTTCTCTGGGTTCCTTGTTCATCTCCAGCTTCAAGTATTTTTTACTTACCGCAGCTCCTGTTAGCCTCACCTCCAAAATATTTCCTAAACATGCCCACTTCTCCCCATATCTTCAGCCCTCAGCCCTCATTATCACTCACTTGGACTATACAGTCCCTCGCGCTGGTCCCTAGCTCCTGCCATCATGTTCCCCTGACAGGTGCAGAAGGGGACCTGTGAACAACTGAATGAGTTCGCACCTCTGCTCAAGAGCCACCCAGGGCTCCCACCTTATTCAGAGTACAAGCCAAAGTTCTCACTGCAGCCCATAGGCCCTGCCCCCTCTGCCCCATCACCTTCCCCTTGCTGGTTCATCCAGCTACTCTGGCCCCAGGGCTTGTGCCTCCAATGCTCTCCACCTGGTTTTTTGCATGGTTAGCTCCTCATCCTTCCACTTTTAGCTTAGGGGTCACCTCCTCCAGGCAGCCTTCCCTGCTCACCTAAAGTTGGCCTCTCTTGGTGACAACCACGTCAACCTGTTTTGCGGGAAGCCATCCACTGCCGATACTATCATGAGAGTGCACCAAGGAACGAGGAAGGCCGATGGACCTTGGGCATTAGCAGGGCTAATGCCAAGCACCGTTGTTCTGTTGACTTAGTGGTGGCTCGAAGCAATTTCCTGACCTAATAACCTCAGAGTAAATGTTTACTGAACCTTGCTGATCTTTACCGATCTTTACTGACCTCAGAGACGGTCTGCCTCCTCCCTGTTTGCCGTGCTTTACTGAGAACAAGATGTGTATCTAAAACTGAATAACTAGCGGACAAGGCCAGGTCTCGGTGTGCCTCTCCAAGAGAGAGGTCTCCACCTGGCCCCCATGCCTTCTAGTTCATATTTCTTGTCTAGTGTTTTCATTTGTGCGTCAGCCCCTCCTTCAGACCCTGAGCCCTAGCCGTGAAGGTCGCGGCATTCATTTCCTTCATGGCACTGGTCACAATCTGCAATTATTTATCTGTGTTTTTACTTTCTACGTATCAAACTTCTCACCCAGAATGTCAGCTCAAAGGGGACCCAGGTCGTGCCTCTGCTGCTGCTTCTTTTTTAAATATATTTTTATTGATTTCAGAGAGTAATGGAGAGGAAGAGAGAGAAACATCAATGATGAGAGAGAATCATTGATCGGCTGCTTCCTACACGTCCCCCATCGGGGATCAAGCCTGCAACCCAGGCATGTGCCCTGACCGGGAATCGAACCCAGGACCCTTCAGTCCCCAGGCTGACGCTCTATCCACTGAGCCAAACCGGCTAGGGTTCGTGCCTCTCCTTTACCACCTGATCCCAGGACAGGATATAGAGTGCCTGGTACAACTGAATGAATGTAAAGAGCTTACTTTACTTAGCATAGCACCTGCCCCAGGGGAAGGTGCACAGTATTAGTGACTGCTGTTAGCATTTAAGTTCCCTGTCTTTTATGCATGCTCACAGCCCTCTGGCTGCTGTGTGCAAAGACCGTCTGATAGAAAACAGAGCACTGAGACCAATTAGGAGGCTACTGCGCTAGTTCCGGGACACGCTGATAATGGGCTGGACGCAGGTGGTCTTGGTGAGGGTGATGAAAAGCGTGCCAGTTTGGGATGTCATTTGAAGATGGAGCTGACCTGCTTGATCATATGTGACATGTGAGAGAAGAAGAGGAGCCAAAGAAACAAGAGTAAGCAGAGCTGTTGGGGAGCAAGCTCAGGCAGAATCCTGCAGGGGGCGCCCGCTGCCTGACCCTGCAGGGAGCTCTGGAGGATGTTCTATTTTCGAGTTGTCCTACGTTGGTAAGTCCTTGACTGAAGGTCACCCAAGGGGAACATTTAAGCTCCCGGGCACTTCTGATCCTCTGAATGTGTAGCAAACGGCCCAGAGCCCAGGGTAGTGTTCCCCCAGGGTAGTGCTCCCAGAGTTACAGGTGCAGGCCGTCAGGCAAAAGCACACAAAACCCTGGCAATGATGCAGAGAAACAATAAGACAGAAGCAAAGGGATCCCGGCAGGACAGTGTTCTGTACAGGGAGGTTGATTTTGGACCCGCCGAGTGTAACATTTCCAAGGGAAGTCGTCACACAAATGGTTGGACGTGTGTGGCCTGAGCTTCAGGGAGGGTTCCCAAGCTGGAGGCATGCAACCAGGAATGCTCAGTGTTTTGAAGGTCTTTCAAGTCATCGGGCTTCCTGAGGTCACCTGGGAAGTGAGTGTAGACCAAGCATGTCAAACTCAAAGGCTAACAGGGGCCAAATAAAAAAGGTGTAAGTGTATGCGGGCCACAAAAAAACAAAAGCTTCAGTTTTCTTTTTTCTTTTTTTAAATATATATATTTTATTGATTTTCACAGAGAGGAAGGGAGAGGGTTAGAGAGTTAGAAACATCGATGAGAGAGAAGCATCTATTTCTGTTGCGCACAACAGACAAGTCAGTACAAGACAAATGATGTGGCAACAGGCTGCTAAAATATTCGCTGCATGTAAGGTACGTAAGGGAAATGAATGCAACATGATTATAGTAATCAGTCACTAGTGAACATTGTAGTTCGTTGTTCATAATTATGTACAGCCCTAGCTGGTTTGGCTCAGTGGATAGAGCAGTGATAGCGAACCTTTTGAGCTCGGCGTGTCAGCATTTTGAAAAACCCTAACTTAACTCTGGTGCCGTGTCACATATAGAAATTTTTTGATATTTGCAACCATAGTAAAACAAAGACTTATATTTTGGATATTTATTTTATATATTTAAATGCCATTTAACAAAGAAAAATCAACCACAAAAATGAGTTCGCGCGTCACCTCTGACACGCGTGTCACAGTTCGCCATCACTGGGATAGAGCATCAGCCTGGGGACTGAAGGGTCCTAGGTTTGATTCCGGCCAAGGGCACATGCCTGGGTTGTGGGCTCAATCCCCAGTAGGGGATCAATGATTCTCTCTTATCATTGATGTTTCTATCTCTCTATCCCTCTCCCTTCCTTTCTAAAATCAATAAAAATATATTTAAAAAATAATTATGCATAACAGGATGTTGTAAAAATTAAGTTACAAAATTTTAATTAACATGTTTCTTACGTTATATTGGCTGGGCCGCAAAAATATTCGTTGTGGGCCGCATGCAGCCCGCGGGCCGCGAGTTTGACGTGCTTAGGTAGACAGGGTGAAGTCTGAGCCCTGGGGAGAGAAGAAAAAGTGGATGCAAGGGAGGACCAGAGAGGGGCATCTGGGGCTAAGTGGAAGGTAGGGAATATAGGCACAAGTGCTCCTGGCTATGGTGGCAGAATAATATGCCCACAGGGACTGTTTTCTTGGGAAATAAGAAGCAAGACCATCAGCTGAGTGTGGAGTGTAGGGAGGTGTTGGAAGCTGTGAGAAGAAAGTACGAGAAATCATCCCGTTGCATGGGAAAGCACCACATAAACGAGGAATGTTAGGGAGGTTGTGGGGGGGGTTCTTTCTCCCCCCCACCCCCTGCCGTCCCACCAACTTTGAAGGTGAGAGGTACAGGCAGAGAATTGGATTTAGCTGGGATGACAGGCATGCAGACACTTGAAGGCGTGTGCAAGGGAGGGGTGCAGGACAGATCCGATCCCTTCACTCCCCCAAAACCTCCCACAGCTCTCAGTGCGCTCAGAGTGAAAGCCACTGTCCGCATGGGGGTCCACAGGGCTCTGCCAGGACTACCTGCTGTCTC